TTTTCCCTGTCAGATTTTTCTACAGGAAATTTACTGGACGAAATTTCCCTGTGGGAACGGATATATCGCCCACAGGAAAATTTTACAGGAAATATCCTGTAGCAAAACACTCTAATATTTACAAAGCAATGTACCTATTTTGGATGTCATAAATCGACGGTGGCGTATGTCAGCTAAAGTCTTCAAAGAAATTGCCTTGCATTTCGACAACTAATGCAACTTTGGACAGATTTCGTAAAAGCCATAGATCTGGACAAGCTCAAGCCAAGTTATAGATAGCTAGTTAGATGAAGTAGTCGTCGAAAACATTGAAAGTACCCAGATTAAGTTTTGGTGACTTGCACCACAGAATCCATTTTTGCAGCAACATGTATATTAAAAATTCATACTTCAGTATACAGTATCACATCATGACACGTTCATATGAGAACTTCAAGCAAAATACGAAGTATATCACATCATGACACCTTCATATGACCCTCATTTTAATTCAACATTCTTATGCAATGCATCCAGCCGCGGACACTTCACCGCCGTGGCACACCCGCCGACGTGCCGGTCCGCCACGTCGCGAGTTCCTCGAGTTGCCCCACCAAACTCTGCAGAATCCACACACATACTCTAGGCTTGGAGGTAGGCCTGCAAGCGGGCCTTTGTGCTGCCTCCTCTACAAAGCGCAAGCGGTCATGCTGCCGACCGCCGCGGCCGCCTCCATGTGGATGCGAGCGCGCCAGAACACCAGCTTTGCCGCGCTCGCATCCACATGGACGCGCTGGCCCACATTGGCAGCCTACTGCGGTCGGACCAAGCCTACTCCCGCTCCCACCGACCCGTGCGCTCACCCCTCGTCCGCCGTCGCGCCGATCCCACTTAAAAACGTAGGTGGCATCCGACATCTAACCGACATATTTCGACCAGAGGATTGGACGACCGACAACAGGAAGTGCAATGATTGGATTAAATATTTTCACACAATTGGATTGGGCGATGGCAATGTCGGTCGTCAACATATCAGCAATAACACGATCCCATTGGAAAAAATAGCAGTTTCAACACCATCATAACCGAACATGCCTCGTAAGGCCTCGGTGACCGCAGCGTCAAAGCTGACGATCAAAGAGTCGTTCCGCGGGACTTCCACTAGGCGTGCCTACGACACATACCAAAAACAGGCACCACCGTTGCCAGCGGAGGAGCCCCCATTTCCTCTGTGGTTATTCCGACGGCTGAGGATGCCAGGTGGATTCACACTGGAGGTCCAAGTTCTGACGCTTTCCACCTGTAGTGCCGTTGAGCGTGCTGGTGATGTTATCTTGATCAACCACATCGAACTGCTCTCCTTGATGGCAGTGACATCGTCGGCTATCACGGTGGACCATGGCATCCAGCGCCCGCTCTCTGGTGCCCAGACGATTCTCGTCACACGAGCGGTTGCAAGATGAAATTGTAACTTTGGGAATACATTACACGTAGTAACTGGAAATCGACCAATCACATCGTTCCATACACGACTTCGGGGTTTCGGGGTTTCAAGCAAAATACTTCCTGATATTTTGACGGCAATTCTCAAGTCAGCGGCATATTAGTACTTCGCACAAAGTTTGATAGCCGGTCATATTATACTCGGATTGCAAACAGAGCATGATTCCCTGTCCAAAACCTTGCATCGTGGTCGTGCTTGGTCCCGAGGTTCGAGCCCCGGCAGCAACAGCGCTGCCGAGGAGGCACTATCGCAAGCGCGGGCAAGACAAAGTGCATGCCAAATCCCGGCACGAAACAGAACGCGTGAGTCTTTAACGTCAGATTGCCAACTTGCACGCGCTGCTGGTCGATGCGCGCAAGCACCACACGGGGCCATTGTCATGGCAGGATGTGCGTATCGCGCTGCGGGACGGATTAATTGAAGCGCCGTTGACTCATGCAGCGTTGGGTCGTCGTGTGGCCAAGCAAAAAGCGTTGATCGATGCGATGCATCGTTGGGTGATGGCATGCATGGCATCTGTCCACGTACGTGCGCCACTCTCCGTCGCATCCAGAGCTTGCATGATGCGATGGGTAGCAAACCCGTTACAGGGCCGACAGAATCGTGGCACAACGTCACGTTTTTTGCCGACTCGAGTCGCACTCTTGGCATGCAATGGATCCTGCATCAGCTGCTGGCGCGAGCCGACCGTGTTTTTCAAGACTCGTCGTGCCATTGGGACAACGGCATGGATGTCGAAGCGACTGTGGCGATGTCCGACGGCCCCGATGCCGCAAACGAAAACGTCGTCATTCAAGTGCGAGGCCACGTCATCCTGGCATGCTCGCTGGCGCGCGCCACGGAGATGGCCTAGTTTGACGATCCATCCATCAATACGCATTGCAAGCTCCTCCACGGCAGTGACAACATCCTGTACATGTTCGAAGACGGCAGCCACCCCCTCATGCACCTCGTCGGGTATGTTTTGTACGGACGGCTCGTGCCGCCGACCCGTGCGGTGCACGTCAGCCGAAGCATTTTGAGCGACTCGATGTATCCTCTTACGGAAGATCAGTGGACCGCGTCGACCTTTGGTTGACTGGTACGGCCGTTTAAATGGACGGACAGGACGCATTCAAGCGTCATTGACCGTTGGTTGGTAGGGTGCTCTTGGAGCCCGTGGACAACGGCCACACTCGAATGCGATACGTCATGCGAGCCGACTCGCCCATGCACCCTACCAAGGGCACGGGGCCATGTAGCCACTTTGGCCTGGACCCGACCAACCCAACGCCCAAATGGAGCATGCAGTGCATGATGGAACGCCTCCATCGGACGATTCAAAGGCAGGGTTACGCCAATCTCACCCGGGAGACGTGCCCCACGTCAGTGTAGTTGTAAGCGAAACATGCGCGTATTTGACGCGCGAACGAGGGCCGCCAGGTGCAATCCAACACCCAAACGAGCGCCGCGCGCAGACGGTCAGGAAATTCGCCGCGTCGACATAACTTGCCGGTAATTTCGATTGCTTCGCGGCCTTGCACCAACGAAAAAGAGGTTACGTCAAGCGCTGCAAGTCGTGGAATTACGGCCTGACTGATAAGCATGATAAGAATCACGAGGACTGACGGGGGTGACCATGAATGCGAGCGACTCGCATCAAGTTGGAATTGAGTGTAAATTGGAAAGTGATTAAGCCCAGGTTAAGCTAGACTTCGACAGTTGGAGCGATGCTACTTCAGAATGTACTGTGACACGGACAAGTCCAACACCCCCAAACAACAAGAAAGCGGCGGATTAGCTGCCCGTGATCACATTTCTACAACCGACTGCAACTGTGTGAAGAATCCGGCGGAGTACTCTGCGAGCATTCAAAACGGTCTCTCCAAGGGGTGTGTCCCTGTGTTCTATCGTGGCAATGAATGCTACAGGTTATTGTTGCGCAGCGAGTTCTTCGAGCTTGGCAAGGCTCGTGGCAAATCCGCTCACGGCGCTGACCAAGCAATTGAGGAGAAGCAGCGTCTCGACGGGAGGTGTCGACGATTCGCACTGGTGGAGGGTCCACTTGGCGAACTGGATGCGCAGCGCCATGGCCATCTCTGGTAGCGCAATCTCGTCCGCTGCGAGGAGATCGCGAGGTCGGCATATTCGATTCGGTGGTGGTTTCTTGGACGTCAGGCGGCGAAGTTCGGTCTTGCTTTCGTGTGTAGACACCGGCATGGCAGTCGCCATGGCTGTGCGAATGGAGCTCTGCTGACGGAGAGCTGTGGGGACTGCGATCTGGAGCCGCAGCCCACGTTCGAGTGCAAGCTTGAACTCGTCCAACGTAACACGGTCGTTTCCGTCAGTGTCAACGAGCTTCATAAAGGCATTGACGCATTCGTCCATCCCGTCGAGTTTGGTCACGCCAGACTCGGCAAAGATCATCCCGAGCATGTCCTTGACTTCCGCGATATCCACGTCGCCACTTCCGTCCTTATCGGCTAGCCGAAATGCCTCCTTCATTTGAATGTACATGGCGATCTGGTCTGCGTCCATGTTGGCAAAGGAGCTCCCAAACAGATTGTGCAGCGTCGCGAACGAGTCATTCATCGCGGTGTTCACGGGGTCAAAGCCGTCGACGGCAAACGGCAACCCGGACACCGAATGCTGACGGCCGCGAACCCACTGCGTCACGTGGAATAGGACCAACGTGTGGTTGTGCAGCCGCTGGCAGCAGGCCAAGACAGCTCGATACTTGGCGTTTGAAAATGGCGCGCGCCACAGCTGCGGCTCGAACGCGGCCTCGGCCATCAACGACGCCTGCGTGAGCAGCAACGATGGCAGCTGTGCCTGGACAATTCTCTGAATGGCCTTTGGGTCCCCCACTTGTCCCCCGCCATGGCGGATCGCTTCGTCCACGAGCGTCTGGTAGCACTGTCGAAACAGCCCGAGCTGGGTCTGAACGTTGGTGCGAATGACCGAGATGACGCTGTGCGGCCTCACCGAGAGTTCCACGACGACAAAGAGGACGACACCAAGACTGAGCTGGGCTAAATTGGAGTACGACGAGATCGGGGTCACCGTGGATCGCTCGCACCCGTCGCAGCCCTTCAGGAGGACCTGCGTCGATGTGAAGGCCGAAATTAGCCCCGCATACGCCTCGATTCCGTTCTTGAAGCATACGAACATGGACATGGTAACCCATACCATGACAACGGCATAGGTGAAGGCAGCCATGAGAACCGTCTGGCCACACGTGTATGAGCAGATGTAAAACAACAAGACGGACGGGACGATGGTGCCGGCAATGATGCCCCCGACGCGATTCACCGTCACGCGAAAGGAGCCCCCTAAAGTCATCGCGAACGTGAAGCGTCATCTCCATCAATTCGACGGTGGCCATCCATGTTTCTTACCGACGTGGCTGCTCATCACAATCGCGACCGCGCTCGGCGTTGTCGGCGAATACCCAAACGTATACACCGAAATCAAGCACGCAAAGAGGATGGCAATCCATGCCTTGAACGTTGTGAGGAGTTTGGCAGGGGGGTAGTTGGCCGGATCGATATATGAATACAACTTGGCTTTGGTAAAGTTAACCATGCGTTGGGCCTGCGCAATGGAACGTTTAGTCGGTGCACACCCACGAAAGTAGGCCAGGGCGAACCGTGTGATGGGCAGTCGCGTTGTACTTCGCTTGAAACTCGAGCAGGGTTTTGCAGTACAGCTCCAACGAAAACACAAACACGTGGAGGGACATGGTGCCTTCAACGTGGCGGGGGGTTGGCGAATGCGCCTTGTAAATTAGACCTTGGGCGTCGTGGAAGCGCTTCAACAGGGTCTCCATCTGCCGATCGAGCGGGTCCTGGCCGCTCAGCTGCATGTCTACGGAACAGTGTATTGAATGTGACGGCATGGATTTGATCTACCTATGGCTTACCGATGACGCCATGGTGCGCCAGCGCACTGATCTCGTGCACCAGCTGACTAGCGTGCACTTGAACACTGTACACGTCTTGCTGCAGCGACGCCATAAAGTGCTTGTGTAAGTCTTCGTATCGCTCGAGCTCCATGGCTTGGTACATGGCTCGCAAATTTTCCACTTGCGCGCCAAACAACGCTACAAGCGGCTGAATCGACGACCGACGAAAGCGGAGCGGCAGGTGTAGGCCCACGAGCTGCTCCCACCACACATCTTGAAGCAATGCTTCCATCGCGGCGTGCTTTTCGACGGCCTCGTCGAACTTGCGCTGGAGCTTGAGCTGGAGAAACTTCAAATGGTCGACATCCTTGGTCTTGAAGCAGCACGCGTCGACGAGAAGGTCTAGCAGGTCGTCAAGCGATGCCGCGCACGTCGTTGTATGCACTTCGAGCTGACGAATGCCAAACATTGGGTACGGCACCCACAAGACAAGATTGGCGATGACGGCGCCAAGGACACCGAGCAATAAGTACACAAACAAGTTGGCGACGATGTTGGGGGGATAGTACAAGACGTCCCCTGGCGTTTTGAGCACGCTCGGGTTGGTAAAATCGTTGGGACTTGCCAGCGTTAGCGCAAAGAACAAATTGTTGTTGAGCATGTAGCGCCTCGTGTTGGTCTCCTATGCGAGTCACCCAAGATTAAAGACATGGGCGAATCGAACCCGCCAATGCTAAATACCATGGGAAGTAGGATCCCAATCAGCGTAAACAGCATGATGAACGGCAGCTTGGTGTAAAAATCTCGGGGATGAATCCAATACGAGCGACCACTAAAAGAGTGCTGGGCTGCCTGAAGCGTCCCATCCAACTTGGCGCGCTCCACTAAAGCCACACGATCGCCGAGTTAGCAGCGGGGCGAAAAGGACTGGGAAGGATCGATCGATACACATACCTTCAGCGACCGACGAAAACGACTGCGGTGGGAGCAGGAAGAACACAACCATATTGTACAGCAACGCCGACCCGACGCCGCCAAGTTGCTGGAAGATTTCACGGACAGTTGCGCCGATGTTGTTGCCCGCGCCGAATACAGTGGCCATGGCGACCACGGAGAGCCCGCCAAAAATGTACCAATCGGGGAAAAAGTACCAGTGAGAGGTCGCTTCGAGAGCAGTAGACGAGTTACTCGCATGGGCTTTTGTCATGAGCATTGCCGCTAGAACGGTGCCGACACCGGCGCGGGTGGCAAGCTCCAGTTGAAAGTTGAAAGCGGCTAAATAATAGGGATTTTCCTCGCAGGACGTTCAGAGTGAAAAGACAACGTCTTCGTACCGAAGTACGAACTCGACGTCGAAATGCTGACGGTAGATTTAACGGACTTGGTCACATCCAGCTGCAACGTTCCCGTTGCGGCTGGTGGAGTCGAGCTATAGTGGTGGTGTTGAGTCCCTGCCACAAGCGACGGAAGAAGCGCATGCTGCTTGTGCCTACCACACGGATAGTCATCAAAACTCTGTCGACCAGCGCTGTTACCTCGGCGACGTCACGGCAGAATATGGCTGGTCCTTCATGGCGCAAGTCGCTCAACGCGACGCTTCAACAATTGGCGCAAAAGATCGATCGTGCCCGAAAGGTCGCGAGCAGGTAAGAATCAATATCCGGACTATATATGAAAAGTATCGTCTCCAATGAAATATGAAGAGGACTACTAGTACTACCTCTGTCCGGTTTTGATTGTCGTGATTTTTTTAACTTGGCATAAAATATCCCACAATTTTTTTCCTACGCTGCGATTGGTTAAATCATGGAGAGGAGTTCAATTCAAATCGACTGGTTGTCGAACGAAAGTCGTTGGCGGGATATCAAGAGAGATATGACAATTTGAAATTTCTCGCCAAGTACACTTCAACCAACTATACTTATTCAAGAACTATGAAGTTTCGTCGTCTTACATGCACCGAGAAGATTGCGATCTATGCTGTGCTGCTTCACAACAGCAGCAATGGGAAGCCTCGTTACGGTGACATTAAACATCAAGCTGCGCTGTACAACGTATCCGAGCGCACCGTGCAGCGCGTTTGGACGAAAGGACAAGAAAACCGTCCATTCACAACGCCAGCCCCACGACAACGCAAACAAACTGACATCTTGGACCTCCAAACACGTGTGTCAAAGCTTCCTGCAACAAAAAAGATGGACATACGTACCATGGCAGAGGCGTTGCAAATGCCAAAGTCGACACTACACGATGCCTTTGCAGCTGGTGTGCTTGTTCGAAAGCATTCGTCATTAAAGCCGTTGCTCTCGGACGAAAACAAAGCGGCACGAAAACAGTACGCGTACTCGTTCGTCCACTTGAACGATGGGCACCTCAAATTCGACCCAATGCTGGACCGCGTCTTCCTTGACGAGAAATGGTTCTACCTCCGCAAAATCAAAAACAAATTTTATCTTGCACCATGGGAAGACGTACCAACACAGTCGACAAAAAACAAGCGCCATATACCCAGCGTAATGTTTCTCACAGCAGTTGCGCGGCCACGTATGGTTGACGGTGTGCTCTTCGATGGCAAACTGGGGATTTGGCCATTCGTGGAGACTGTTGCTGCTCAACGTCGAAGCCATCGACGAGAAGCTGGTACGCTTGAAACCAAGACAGTGTCTGTGACAAAGGCAACCTACAAAAACATGTTGATCAAGGAGACGTTCCCTGCAATCTTTGAAAAGTTTCCCTGCGATTTTCAACGCATTATCGTACAACACGACAACGCCAAGCCACATGCAGTTATTTGGACGTGGTTTCGGCAACTGAGTGCAACGGGCGACGCATTGTGTTTGGCAGCCAGCCGGCAAACAGCCCAGACTTGAACATTCTTGATCTGGGCTTCTTCAACTCGATCCAGTCGCTCCAGCACAAGATGACGGCCTTCACAGTGGATGAGTTGATTGGCAATGTGAAGAAGGCATTTACCGACATACCTGCTGAGTCGTTGGAAAATGTGTTCTACACGTTGCAGTCTGTCATGGAGTGTATTTTAGAGACTGATGGGAGCAATAAGTACAAACTTAAGCACATCGGAAAGGCAGCAAAACGTCGAAGTGGTGACCTTGAAGAGACGTTGACGTGTTCTGTTGACACCTACCTTGCTGCTCGCATTGCCGACTTCTAAGTACCAGGGTATTTTTAACCAATGTAATTAGATACGTTTCAATTTTGTCCAATGATGTGAAATCACGACAGTCAAAACCGGAAAACGAAAATATGAATCGCGACAATAAAAACCGGACAGAGGTAGTACTCCGAAATGAACATTGTCGGTTTGGATTTATCGATATGGCATGCTATGGAATCGTCGGATACTTTTCATATACGTATAGTTATATAAGTATATATACATATATAAATATATATGAAAAGTATCCGACTCTGATGAAATATGAAGAGGACTACTACGGTTTCCAAGCAGAGTGAAATAGATCTTGAATTGAGCTATTATTTAAGATTGAAAAGTTTTCGGACACGAAATTTTCCATTCAAAGCAAAATGATTTCCAACCAAAGTGAAATCCTGAATTACTTGCCATACTGCATATCTTCGAGGTGAAGAGCTTTCATCGCATTGCGCTGGCAAAACAATGCCTCACGAATCATCAAAGGTTGGGCAATACAACCAAGCGAATACCTGGCGGCGTCCTCCTAGAGACTCATGCGGGCCTCGAGGTACGTGTCAAAGTCTCGCCGATCAAACATGTCTTCGGTCCGCAGGGCCAAATAACGCTTGATCGCAGCCTTCAACACGCTGAAACAGGACTCGATAGGATTGAGCATCGGGGAGTACGGGCCAAGCCGAAGCAGCACCATGTCGTCATGTGGTATCGCTCGAGTCTCAGTCTGCGAATGAGCAGGTGCGTTGTCCCAAACGATCACAATCTTCTTGCCTTGAATGTTTTCTTGCCAGGATGGTGAACTCGACACAGCTTGGTACACATCCTCGACAAAAGCAGCGTTTTGCTCCATTCGAATGCTTCCATGTTCAACGACGAGACTATCGTGGGCGGACACAGCGCATTTGATTTGGAGGTTGGGTCGTTTGGTGGGAGGAAGGGTCACCACAGCTCGTTCTCCTTTCTTGGCGCGGCCCAAACGTTTGCAGTACAGGTTGAAATTTGTTTCGTCGTTGTAAACGATGTAATCGGCATTTTCTTGTGTTGAAGTAGTGCGCGGGCAAATGCTAGTCGCTTTTCCTTGTTTGCGTCGTTGTTGCATGTCGATGGTTCAATTAGCACTTGCTTCACGGTGTACAGCATGCCGATGAGGTGGCGGCTGATGGTTTGAAGCGATATGTTTGTCCCAGCAACGTCGAAGGCGATGAACTCCTTCATTTGTCCCAGTGTATATGGACTATTTTCATTGACATACCCTTCTATCGCAGCTCGGATTGCTGGAGTTACTTTCGTGCACCGGTCGCGTTGTCCTCCGCGGGGTAGCGTGGTGATGCGATTAGAGTTGGTGATGCGCCAGGCAGTTGTTTGGAGATGCCATTGCGAGTTGCTATGGTCTTCCAATCGGGGTCACCGCTGGTGTACGCGTCAAGTACACGCTTCTTTTCCTCTGGTGTTGGTGACTTGCGGGATGGAGGTGAGGGCATCCGTGAAAGAATTGGAAGTACACAATGCTTCATTTTGTGTTTAACATTCGCGCATATACCTCGCGCCAAATTGAATGGATATAATTCATTTTGGTTGGAAGCCATTTCACATTGGATAGAAGTTGATGTGTCATATGAACTTGCCAAAATTTATAGTCTGTATCAAATTCACTTTGCTTGGAAACCGTACTCACATTGGTCGGGAAAAGGTGTAGTACTCCGATATGAACATTGTCGGTTTAGATTTATCGATATGGCATGCTATGGAATCGTATAGAGTGGCCGATCCCCGGCGTAGTATGAGGGCTATAGGGAGGGACCTGTAGCCCTCAAACCACGCCGCCTTCCCGCAAGAGGAATCGATAGGATATCGAGCTCCACGTTTGGCATCATTCTCGCGAAGCCTTCACCCCCTCCATGCGCGCGCTGCATCTCCAGATGTCTAGCGCATGTTGAGAATGCGAATCACAATGTGAATGTTGCCCATGCACGTATGCATGGCATTTTTACACCTGGGCTGAGATGAAAGTTGTCATGGGCTTTATCGCCAGAGAAATGTGGCAATGCGCAAATGGAACTTCGGTTGCTAGCCCCTTGGAGAAAACGCTCCCCTGTTTCTCCCCTTGCATGTTGGTTCGAGGCACCACCACGACCACCAATTCCACCGCCCACACTGTGTGGCCACCAGCTCACGGGAATCGCATGGCATATGACCTGATGTTTATGGGTCGTTTTCCGGCCACGCAGTGGAGCATCGCTTTGTGGCAAACTTGTCTGTCAGCGCAATCAAGAGCTAGACGGTAGTCACAAAGTACTAAGGTGGTCGGCACGTGCAAAATCGGCGTTTTGTTTATTGTTATAAGGCCTTGTCCGTGGACATTGAAAATGTCGTCATGGGTTTCTGTTCGATTGAACCGTACGGTGGCTCGAGCTCTCATCCTCGCAGGAAGGCCCCTTACACGCACTGGACCAATACACATGACAGTGAAAGCAATTGACCATACAGGTAGATGGCGTCCTGCACTTGTCTGCAAAATGCATTCACGTTGAGTTACGACGACTTCTTTTACCGACGAGACGTGAGTACATACGACGGTCGAGGTGAATTTGACACCATTTCAAGGCCTCAACGAATCCAGCCCCTGTCACCACCAACCATTTGAAAATGTCGCCGAGTTTAGGTTGCCCTTGGTTCGCAAGGATCGAGTTCATTCAGCTCTTGGGGCAATGGAGGGGGTTGTTTTGTTTCAATAGACCACTCAACCAATTATTGGGTCACTGGCGCAACGTGTTGTAACTTTGGAAATCACGAAGTGACTTCGAAATTCATTTCATGCAAAAATGTGCGATGAGCTATTTCGTAATTGACTCGGTCATTTCCAATCGTGTCAACTGGTAACTATTGGGTGTGGTGGTTTC